ATATGTTGCTGAAAAGCTGCAGTTAGGGAAAATAAATAACATCAAAACAAACGGGGGGCGAAAGGTGGCATTTGCTAAACGACAGCTCTGTAGTACAGATAATGCTACTTAGTGCCATACACTGCAGATGCATCCAGTGATGGTTCTTTTCTGAATGTATTAATTATATTAGAAAAATCACTCTTTGTAGACATCTATTTTTAGATTGGGAACTTAATTGATGGCCCTCAGTCAATGGTTAGAAGATCTTACTTCTTTCTATACATAAATGGTATCTTACAAATGCCACCTTAATGCATATGTCACTTTGTACTTTAGGTATATCGTCAGCTTATATAAATGAATGATTAGCCCATGATTACATCATTTTTTCAATAGTTCAATAAAGGTATCACCTGCTTCTGCATTTGTATCTATTTTTAAAAAACGTTTCTCTTTCTGATTTTGTAATTTAAAAAAATTAAAAGTATTTCTTTTAAAAGAGCACTTCTGTATGATCCTAAGGTGTCTTGTCCGGGAATATTTTTAAGCTGCGGAAATTGGCAGTTGCTCTCCCCCCAAAAAACAACAACAACAAAAGTTGATGCTGTCTATTTTCAATAATTTTCAAACTGTAGCAGAAATATTTTTGATCACTGAAGGAAAAAAAAATCATCATTGTAGTTGCTCTCCCCCCAAAAAACAACAACAAAAGTTGATGCTCTCTATTTTCAACAATTTCCAAACTGTAGCAGAAATATTTTTGAACACTGAAGGAAAAAAAAATCATCATTGCTGAGTCCTAACACCTGACATTTTCTGATGTCTCATTTGTTCCAGTCTTAATCAAAAGCTTTTCAGGAAACATGATAATCTTTTTAAATATTGCAGATAGATGGATTCACCTTCTCTGATTCTGCCCTAAGGCTAATTATCTGGCATGAACTCCTCTCTAATTTTTCTGACACTATTGTCACACCTCATTCTGACTGATGTAGATGACTTTTGCATTATGAAAGAACAATACCTTTGAGCCAAGATGGAAAAAACGTGGTGTGGGAAGACACATGTTAAAATGATGAGAGGCAAGGGCTTCACCGCATATCCAGATGTCCTGTTCAACCTGTACAGTTTGAATATATTTGGGAAGTTAGTGTAATGAACAGGGAACTTTTCCAACTTTCTGTAAAAACTAACTTTGACTTCACTTTTTCTGACTTTACATAGTTCCAGTTCATGCAGACCTTTACTCCATAAGCCAGGTGTGACCCCATAGCTTCCCTCTTCCTCTCTGACCTCCACCCCATCACAAAAAAAGCTTAAAGAAAACCTCTTATTGGAATCAATAAGAGGAATAATAATAATTTACAAAACAATGTGTTCAGAGGGAACGGGTAACCCTCTTTTGCCTTGCACATATTGTGAATCCTCTCTGCCATGACCCACAGGCTACAACGAATAATCATGTGTTATGAACTTGTTTCCGAATTATTGTGACCCTTCCAAGGATCTTATTTTCATTTCTCAGATCTGATTTTAAAGAGAAAGATTTTTATGAACCCTTGAAGAAGTGGAAGCAGAAACCAATGGATCCCCTTAAGACCAGACAACATTATAGACTCCAGGTATCTTAGCATTCTTCCCTTTCTTCCCCTCCTCAAACATCCACTGCCATTTTCTTCTTCTCCATCAAGTGCCCTAAATGGAGGCCAACCACCTCATTCCTTTGCTCCCCCTCAAGAACGGCAGCACCAGAAAACATCAAGCCATAGTGCGCACCTTAGAAGCGCAGCACATCCCTGTGTGCTTCCTGCATAGTGAAACTGCATACAACATCAAGCCATAGTGCGCACCTTAGAAGTGCACTTCCTGCATAGTGAAACTGCGTATAAACATCTGCCAAGGAGCTCAAAATAAAACAACACACCTCACACAGCAGTCAGTCGCTCTCCCACACAATTTCATATGAGGAATTTCCTCTGGCCTTCTTGCAGTAGGCTTGAGCCTAAATAGTATCTCCTTAGAGTCCAGATTGAAAGGAGAAGCCACTTCCTCTCTTTCCCCATCCCTTCCTACTCTGGCCTAGGGCTGGCTGTGCTAACATGAAGCAGTGAGTTCAGATGCTTTGGGTGTCCAGAGTATGAAAGTGCCAAAAGTGAGGACCATCAGTATAGACGCAGTGGGTGACCACCTCCTCGCCTAACTACCTCACAGGGTTGGTGTGAGGGCTGGACACCACATTACTTTGCACTCCTTGGAGGAAAGGTAGAATATTAGTAAAATAAATAAATTATGGAAGGCATTTGTTTTGTTTGAAGCCATCCGCACTCTAAGCTTAAACAAAAGGCTCTTTCAAGCAAAGCACCTCTAAGGATTATGCATTTCCTGACTAATTAGTGTGGATTCCTCACTTTGGTTTTGCCTAAAGCAACTCAAGGAAGAAACCTTTGGTTTGACAAAAGAGCCTTAATGTTCTCTTAACGAGAGTGGGTGTATCTCTGAATCGGCTGTTAAGCTGCAGAGATGGGATTTTGAGCCCAGTGCTTGGCAGATTACTGTATGTGTGAGCAGCAGGAGGTGGGAAGTTTGGAGAAGAAAGGTAGAGAAAGTGGGGGGAGGAGAAAGGATAAAGAAATATATGAGTGGGCTGAAGCATTGGGGGGGGGCAGCATCACCTCTCTGAGGAAATGACAACTGATGTGTGATTTTCTAGCAAACGCCATCTCTGTGTCTGGAATTCTGGATACCAGTTAATGGAAAGATGGGCAATCCTTAGGGTAGCTGCAACCCATCATCCTTCCACACAGTTATATTAGCAGGGACAGATAGGAGTTGTAGTCCAAAAACATTTGGAGGGTCCCACTTCAGCCATTCCAGGATTAACACATCTGACAAAGCGGAGTATAGTTCATAAAAGTTCACAACACAAAATAAGTGCCACGGGACCCTCACATTTCTTATCTCCCTCACTGGCTCATTTGCACTAACCTGGTTTGCAAATGTTGCACTGACTGGACTCACCTGATGAGCTTGATTCTTCTCCACAGGCCACCCAGTAAACTGAGTTAGAGGGGCTGAACCCCCAACCTCCCCCTCCCTGCAATCTGCACTGCCTAAAGGGAGCTCAGGTGAGTGAAGAGAGAACAGGGTGGGAGTGCCTTCCACCACTAGCTTTCCTATGCTACAACACTAAGGGCTAGTATGCTGTTGTGGTCAGACTGCTGAATTAGGAGTCACAGCTATAAAACCCTGTCTCTCTGAGCCGGACCTGTCTAAAACGACTTGTGTGAGGTTTGCTTGAGAAGAGGGGAGTGTGCCCTAAGACCCTGCCTTGTTAGTTTGTTGTGTACAGTCAAGTTGGAACTGATTTATTGCAACCCTGATTGGGCTTTCAAGGTAAGTAAGAGGTCTACAACGCTCCCCAGTGGAGTTTCAATAGCCGAGTGGGTATTTGAACCCTTGTCTCCACAGGCTTTCAAGGTAAGTAAGAGGTCTACAACACTCCCCAGCAGAGTTTCCATGGCCAAATGGGTATTTGAACCCTGGTCTCCAGTCCTGTTGTTGTTGTTTACTCGTTAAGTTGTGTCCAACTCTTCGTGACCCCATGGACAAGAGCATGCCAGGCCCTCCTGTCTTCCACTGCCTCCTGGAGTTTGGACAAATTCATGTTGGTTGCTTCGGTGACGCTGTCCAACCATCTCATCCTCTGTCGTCCCCGTCTCCTCTTGCCTTCACATTTTCCCCAAATCACAGTCTTTTCCAGGGAGTTTTCTCTTCTCATGAGATGGCCAAAGTATTGGAGCCTCAACTTCAGGAGCTGTCCTTCCAGTGAGCACTCAGAGTTGATTTCCTTCAAAATGGATAGGTTTGTTCTCCTTGCAGTCCAGGGGACTCTCAAGAGTCTCCTCCAGCTCCACAATTCAAAAGTATCAATTCTTCGGCGGTCTGCTTTCTTTATGGACCAGCTCTCACTTCCATAAATCGCTACTGGAAAAACCGCAGCTTCGACTATGCGGACCCCTGTCGGCAAGGCGATGTCTCTGCTTTTAAAGAGGCTGTCTAGGTTTCTCATTGCTTTCCTCCCAAGAAGCAGGCATCTTTTAATTTTGTGGCTGCTGTCACCATCTGCAGTGATCATGGAGCCCAAGAAAGTAAAATCTGTCACTGTCTGCATCTCTTCCCCTTCTATTTGCCAGGAGATTATAGGACCAGTGGCCATGATCTCAGTTTTTTTTAATGCTGAACTTCAGACCATTTTTTGCGCTCTCCTCCTCACTCAGAGTGGGATCATCTGCATATCTGAGGTTGTTGATATTTCTTCCAGCAATCTTGGTTCCGGCTTGGGATTCATCCAATCCAGCCTTTTGCATGATATATTCTGCATGTAATCATCCAGTCCAGCCTTTTGCATGATATATTCTGCATGTAAGTTAAATAAGCAAGGAGAAAATATACAGCCTTGTTGTACTCCTTTCTCAATTTTGAACCAATCAGTTCCATATCCAGTTCTAACTGTTGCTTCCTGTCCCACATATAGATTTCTCAGGAGATGGATAAGGTGGTCAGGCACTCCCATTTCTTTAAGAATTTGCCAGTTTGCTGTGTTCCACAGTCAAAGGCTTTTGCGTAGTCAATGAATTAGATGTTTTTCCTGAACTCTCTGGTTTTCTCCATAATCCAGAGCATGTTAGCAATTTGGTCTCTAGTTCCTCTGCCCCTTCGAAATCCAGCTTGTACTTCTGGGAGTTCTCGGTCCATATAGTACTGAAGCCTACCTTGTAGGATTTTGAGCATAACCTTGCTAGCTTGTGAAATGAGTGCAATTGTAGGGTAGCTGGAGCATTCTTTGGCCCTGCCATTCTTCGGGATTTGGGATATAGACTGATATTTTCCAACCCTAGTCGGTCACTTTATGCACGTTGGGATGTAGACTAATCTTTTCCAATCCTAGTCACTTTATGCACCACAACACACACTAGGTACCCCACCTTAAACTGACAGGATTTTTAGTACAGCAAACAATGCCGGGGGAGGGGAGAGCCAGCCGGCGGCAGCTGCTTCCACCCCCTCACCCGGGGGTCCAACGGCTTTCTCTTGCAAATTCCGGTGCCCGGGGAAGACCAGCCAAGGTGGCGGGAAGCGGATCCCCTCGGCTGGCTCGCTCTCCCCTCCCCTCGGACGGGGTGAAGGAGGGGCGGCGCCAGTCTGGAGTGGGGGTGTGGGGGTGTCCCAGGGCGCTTCCCGGTTGGGAGGGCGTCCTTCCGCCCCTCCCCGCTATTTCAGGCTCTGTTCCAGGGCGGGCAAGGGGGGGGAGGAGAGTCACGTGAGAGCACCTCTCTCCACGTGAGAAATGCCGGAGGGTATCAACACGCATCTGTTTTCCAGTCTTGCCGCTGGTTTCCTAATCCTGCGGATTGGTCTCCTCTTTCTTTTCCTCCCAGTTGCTCACCGCCTTCCCCTCCCCTCCTTTTTTTTGGCACATTCAGCCAATCTCCCCGTGAGGAGAAGAAAATCAAAAGCGCTCCATTCAAGGAGAAGGGCGGGCGGGGCGCGGGGGGGGGGAGAGAGCGAGGGAGCGACAGCGCGGCTGGTCCTCAAACGCATGCGCGCCCGGCGAGTGGAGGGTGTCTATAATAACAACGGGGAAAGCGAGGGAGCGCCCAGGAGTCGCGGAGGGAGCCCGGGCGCGCCAGGAGCTCTTGGCTGCGCTCGCCGCCCGGAGGAAACGGAGTCCTCTTGCGCCTTCGGGGGAAGATTGGCTTGAGCCACGAGGCGGGACCTGCCTGCTTCCCTTGCCGGTGAAGACAAGAAGAGGTGGACCACCACCACCCCCGTCCGGGGCTCCTGCTGCCTTCTCCAAAAGTGTCCGGGAGGGAGAACGGACCGGCAGGAAAGAGGAGAAACTCTGGCGCGGGAGAGCAGGAGGAAGACAACCGAAAGAGCCCGGAGAGCCTCATATGCCTCCCCGCCTCGCCCCATCTCTCGCTGCGCGCCCGACGGCGGGGCTTCTCGTACAGCTCCGGAGCGGGCGCAGCTAACTTCGGTCCGGACCGGGAGCAGCCGGCGACTTTTGGAGAAGCGAGCGCGCGCTCTCGGAACCGGAGAGCCGGGAGCTGAGCGCCGGTGAAGAACCCGAAAGTTGTTGCCGTGTCCCCTCCGGGTGGAGGCGGCTTGGCCGGGAGGCGAGGTGCGCGCAAGGCAAGGGGCGCCCGGCGCTTCCCTGTCCCGGGCTAGACGGGCACCGAGGCGCCCCCCCCTCGAAGCACAGCGTGCACGCGCGAGAGAAAGGGATCGTCGTGTTGTGGTTTCCGGCGTGTTTTCCTCCGTCCCGCCGGTC